CCTGCTGGCAGAGCGATAAAAACTATTTTTGGGGGGGTGGGGAGGGTAGCTTCAATATCCATAGGAAAGTTCTCTAAGGAAAAGCCACCTTCCAGAGTGGATCCTAAGGCTGGTGAGGGTCGATGGGGAGGTGAAGGGAAATTTCTTAATATGGCGCTTTTTTTTTAACACGTATCTCTGTAACTCCTACCAAGTGATTGGGTGGGACTTGGTGCAAAAGCAGAAAATCATATCGTTTACTATGCTGGAATGACACAATCAAGAAAAATGGTTTTGCATTCATCATCAAAAAGAACATTTCAAGATCTATCTTGAAGTGCAGTGCTGTTTGTGATGGGATTATATTTATCCATATTCAAGGAAATCCAGTCAATATCAATATTACTCAAATTTATGCATTAACAACTGTAGCTAGTGATGACGGAATTGAAGAATTCTATCAATGCCTTCATTCTGAAACATGGGAAACGGAGGACTGGGAAGAGAGTATATGCGGACAAACCCTCTACGGTCATATTTAAAGAGTCTGGGAAGCTGAGACTCTGGTGCAGGGAGGCATGCATGCGTGTGAGTTGGAGATGAAGCCCAGTCACATTGTCCTGACTGAAAGTTTTCTTCCATAATGTCCCCTGTAAAAATGCCAACTTTAAAATACTTTTTTACAAGCTCCTATTTGCTTTCTATAGTCTGGAAGGTTATCTGCTGTAATCTGCCTGACTCTTGTCTGCCATTAAGAACAATCAAACCCTATTGTAAACCCTAAGAAAAGTCCACTCTCTTCTGATAAGGATCATAGATCCTTCCCCTGGAGAAGAGCTCAGGGACAGCCAAGCTTGAGCTAGCTCAGGGATGGCCAAGGTTAAGCTGCCATTCTAACCCTTGAGCTGACCCATCTTGCTATGTATGTGCCTTCCTGTCACGTAGTATCCTGGCCTTAGTACCTCCCCCTCCTATTACATGTATGTCTTGTATGTCTCTGGTACATGCCCTTCCTGTTATGTAAGTATATGACATGGCTTGCATGCCCCAGTAATTATATAAGCCTGTCAGAGAATACATTTGCCTCCCCTGTTAATTTAAGAAACAAGACAAACCTAAAGTTTACAAATAATAAAACAAATCTGGATCAAGGATAAAGTCCTCTTCCCTTAGGAATTGCAGCCTATTTCCTTTCAAGGTGAAATCATTCAAGTGTTTGCACAATCTGCACACCCTTTTTCATTTTACTGATTATAACCTCTGAAATGTGTCTTCTCTACTGGTTCTTTCCCTTTACAATACACATATTCAAAGATCTCTTTTCGTGTAAACTTATTCTACTTTAACCATATGCCCTCGTCTACTTATGATACAATCCATTTTGTTAAAAAGTGATAACTGAAAGTAGGATAATTTTGGAGGATATTAAAACTGATGTTCAGAATTGCAAATGCCTGGAAAAGCACACAGACTTCTGTTGGTTGTATTGCAGTTGTGAACTTTTCTACAAGGCAACACATTTTCTCGGGGCCTGCTCCCCTGGCAGACTGTGCCCAGCACTCCCCTCTTGCTTGGGCCTGCCTTCTTCTCTTTGCTCACAGTATGTCTACAAGGTTTCTAAGGAGGTCTGCTTGGAAGGCAGGCCTGACCATACCACCCAGTTGTTTTAATTTTTCAATGGTTTGTCATTAAATTCAGGATGAAAGACAAATGGACATACATTTTATTGTAAGGTTTTTCTCTTGAAACAGTACTAAACTCTACTTTTCTCCTTTTCTGGGAAACTGGTATGAATCTTTCAAAGTTTACCTTGACATAATTTCTCTGAAAACCTTTCCCTATCTGAGCAAGGTGGATATCTTGAATTGCTGGAGCACCTATTCTTTATCTTGATCATATGACTAAGTCCTAAACCTGCCACCCACTCCAGGCTGTGAGCAACTTTAGACAGGTTTTATATCTGACTCATTGTTGTCCTGCGGCACTTTATACAATGCATGAGAAATAGTTGTTTGGTCCCTTCAAGTCAATTCCAACTCACAGAGTCAGGATGTACAAGGGAACAGAACAATGCCCAGTCCTGCACCCACCTCACACTCGTTGTTGTGTTGGAGTGCATGGTTACAGTCATCACTATAGTACATCATGTCAAGGGTCTTCCTCATTGTAGCTGACTCAACTCTACCAAGCAGGATCTCCTTTTCCAGGGACTGATCACTCCTGAAAACATGACTAAAGTACATGAGACAAAGTCTCAGCATCCTCGCTTCAAGGAGCATTTTGGCTGTACATCTTCCAAGACAAATTTGTTTGTTCTTCTAGCAGTCCATGGTACCTTCAGTATTCTGCACAAACACTTTAATTCAAATGGACTAATTCTGCTGTGACCTTCCTTATTCACTTTCCAACTTTCACATGCAAATGAAGCATTTGACAATACTGCATGACTTACATCATGCACACCTTACTCCTTGTGGTA